TGACTTTTTCCCAATACAATTGATTTTTAGGTCAACTGATCAATTGACTGAGCAAAAATGTGATCCAAGACTTGAAACTTGACTTGAGAAATATTAAGGGTCCAAAATGATCCATGAAAGTCATATGGGGCATTAAAAGTCCATTTGTCCTTGTGCAAACTCAAATCTTAATTTTCAGTCATTAATGCTTGAGGAGGTGTCTTGAGCTGATCAACCCTTGTGCAGTCTTGAACCAAAGGAGATCTTGTGAGAGATTACTTGAGAAATGAGAGGCAAATTTTGGGGTACAACAGTATCTCTATAATTAGGTACCATATTCTAACGTTCTCTTACACCTCATACCTTTTTTTCTCTATTTCTAATAGGATTATTCTAAAAAATGTTCATTATGAATCCTAGTCTTATCAATGAGTTCACAACCAAGCAAGAAGAAAAAAAATTCTTTAGGCACTTTACCAACCTAGAAGTCATGAGAATTCATACCTTAGATCCAAAATACTTCAAAGAGTGAAAAATATTCAAAACTCTATAAGAGCTTAAACTCTCAAACTTCATTTGCACACCCTCAGGAAAAATCTATACCACACTAGTGAAAATGTTTTCCTCAAATTGATGGAATTATCCACAACGAAGCAGAAAAACACCCCATAACCCTATTTATAAAAGAATTTGGAAAACTTCTCATTCTCACTTACGAATATCACCTCACTGAATTAGGAGACAAAGCCAACAAGTATAATTATTTCCAATCTGCACCTTCCCAAATGATAGAACCATCCTCACCCATTCCTTTTCCACTCACAGCCGGATACATCATCCCCGAAAGAAGAATGACCCACTACATCTTAACCCATGTTCTCTTTTCCAGATCTCGAAACTTTGGTCTCCTAATCCAAACAGATGTAAAAACCATATGGTTCATAGAGAACAAAGTAAAGTTTAATTGGGCTAGTTGACTACATGTTTGACATTATAACAAAGAATACACCACTACCATATGGAAACTGGTCACAAAAGTACATGAAAAAGCAGGTTTCAGCCTAGATGAGAAAATCGACTTCAATAAGAAAACCACAAAAATAGGAAAAGCTATCCTACCCTCAATGAATTGTGAGTTGAAGAATGAAAAAATCATAGGAAAGCCAATTATCAACAGAAGGAAGAGAAAAGTCAGTAGTCAAGACATACCCGTAGAAATTATTGAAAGTGATGATTCCTCTCCTCAGATTCTCACAACCAAAGATCTGATGAAAAATTTGTGTGGGAAAATTGATATACTAAATGAGAAAATTGACTTCATCACATACCACCTAATTCCTAACAAATCCAAATTTCCCCATCATATTTTCCATCATGATGACTCTGATAAAGAATAGTTCATATTATATTTCTTGCAATTTGTCTTTGATCACTGATTTTAATTTTGCACGTCTATGTATGTACTTTTCCTTTTTGCATTTCTATTATGTACCTTTTCTTTATAAGTGTATTCCTTGTTTCAAATAACTATGGTTTCTTTATATAATTTTGCCCTACAAAAATTAAATAATGAGTATGGTTAAAAAGGAGGAATAAAAAATATCTACAAAACTTGTTTTCCTTAAATATTCTTATTAGACACACCATTAAATATATTGCAAAAAGCTTATGTCACGAATTTAAAAGTATTATCTCCTACCAAGTGTGACTCTTTCTATTCCATGATTTGGATACTCTTGCTAGGCACACTGTAGGATAAAAAACTTAGAATAAACATTACAAAAAAAATTCACAGGTGTCTCAGGAAACCTTATATGTGCCTCATCTATTGTCTTTGCCATGTATAAATGTTTAATATCTTACACATATTTCCATGACTAAGAATTAGGAAACCTTGTTTAGGAAAAATAGGTTGTTTTCTACTAAGTGTAATACTTCTCGTATTTTATCATGATCAATATCCTTACTTTAAAATGAAGGATATTGTAGGATAAAATAATGGTTAATATTGTATGTGAGTTCATCAAGACCGTTTATCAAATCTAATGGTTAATATTTAATCCTCCTATCTCTTATTTTAAAATTCCTCCTACTTGATACATTCCATATATATATATATCACATGCATGTTTGTAAGTGTATTCAACAAGTTGTTTGCATATGATAAAGACCTTATGCCACGTCTAAACAACTTTTTAGGAAACCCCACTTTAAACATCCTTTGTTTCTCATCAAAGAGTAATTCATTCTATGTCAAAATATGTTCTTCTTTATATGACATGATCTTTTTCATACATAAATGAATCTCGTCACTACTTGCTCTTGCATAGTTCAAACACTTATGACATTATTGTTTAAAAGTATGTTACATGATCTATCCTTGTTATGATGTTTGATAAAATACTTTATGCAATGAATTACTATATTGATCTGCCATGGAGTTTTGTGCTATAGATTAATAAAAATATAAGTGTATATTTGCATCTTTTACCCGCCTTTTTGATTTCAACAAAAGGGAGAAATATACTCTCAAGGGGAGGGTATACAGTCTATCTAACTCAGGGGGAGTGTTATCACTTCAAAATATATTACTTTGTTTATTTTACCACCTTCCCTGAAAAATGCATTGTCATCATCAAAAAGGGGGAGAATGTGAAACCTTATTTTGCAGGTAATAGGTTTTCTTTTGATGATGACAACTGTGAAGAACAGAACAAATATTCAGCATGATAAAGATACAATATGATCATGACAACTGTGAAGAAAAAACACATAATCAATATGATGCAACATGATGAGAACTGTAGAAAGATAAAAAAAATGTAACCATTAAGAAAGTCAACCAATGTACTTAAGCAGTCAAAGATGCAAGTCATAGATTTTATAAGGATTGACAATGGTTCAGACATAGACAAAGTTTCATCAACAAAGTCTTAGATAAAGGCAAACAAACAAAGATTACAAGTAAGCTCAAAGCAAGTGTCACAACAAAAGAATATACCAGACAAAGCTTAGTGGAGTTAATCTCCCAATTTAGTAAGTGAGTGAAACTTTTGTAAAAGAAAAAGTTTTTTCTTTGTAGAAGTAGATGAATATAAACACACACACACACACACTTAAAACCTTTTTATAAAATGCTTTGAAACTAATAAATCTTGAGAAGTATATATAGAAGTTTCATAGAAAGTGATGGGAGCATTCAAAAAGTTAGAAAATATTTTTTGACTAAAACTAATCGATTAGAACAAAGTGTCAATCAATTAGATTGATGCGCTTTTGAGGAACAAGGAAATTTGAAATGCACTCAAATAATTAGCAACGACTATATATTATATCTTACGTATTTTGGAAATCATAGTTGTTACATTTAAATGAGTTAATTCATTGAGTCAGTCGATTAACAACTGTCATTTTTTATTTAATGATATTTTCTCTTTTGGAGGATTTCAAGCCTATAAATAAATGTTTCATTCTTCGTTTCAAAGCATTCAAAAAATTAATTGTGTATTGACACACACACACACACACACACACGCACACACACACACACACACACACACACACACACACTGTATCTCTCTCTCTCTCTTTCTAAGTTTTCATTTTCACTTTCTCTCACTAGTTCTTATAGCCAAATTCTTTTGCAGAGTGATGTATTATTGCAATTCTGGATGGGTAGCATTGTATAAGTTCTTCAATATTGTTGTTGATGCACATTGAATGAACACAATCCATTTTAGGGATAAAAATACGTGGTTAGAAGCTAAACCCGTTAAAAGCTTTGGTTGAGGATTGTGTGATAAGTTCCTGATATTTGTTAAGGTTGAAGGTCATTAATATTGATGAACTTCCCTTAAGACTATTAGAAAGAATTGTTCATTTGAAGGATGAAGATTATCAATATTGATGAACTTACTAATAGGTTCATGATTAGCCTGTTTAAAACCATAGGTTAGAAGATCAACCTGTTAAAATCTCAAGCAATTAATGGTTATCCTGTTAAACCATATTGAGCTTAGTTATTTTGTGGAAATAAGGTTAAATCACTTTAATCTACAGTTGGGAAGAAAGATTGATCACTTCAGTCTCAACAATTTCCATGGAGAAGACGTAAACGAGCATATCTCCAGTCTTGTATTATCATGGTTATAAGACAACCGCCATTTCCTTGTATATGGGGGTTCATGAGCTTCACCTACTAAAAATTCTCAAGTATATAATAGAAACTCTCAAGACCAGTTCTTGAGGAGAGGAGTATGTCAATTTTATTTTGATTGAACCTCTATAACTCTCAGTGTTTTTCTTCTTCCCTTAAACTCTTTAAATTCTGCATATTATTTCAATATATATTTTCCGCTTCTTAGAAATAGAAAAATGTTTTTCAAACTCTGATTTAATCTCAAAAAGTTTTAAAAACCATGATTTTACAAACCATACAATTCTCCCCCTTTTGTGTCTGAAATCTCAAGTGCAACAATTAATCCTCTTTATCATAACCAAAACAAGTTAATTCTGTTAAGTACATAGGACTACAACAACAAGCCTGACCCCCTCCAAGCTCCTACATTTGATTGAACGAGAGTTATAACTCTTATTCAGCATGTTAGACCCCCTTCCAAGCTTCAAAGCTTGGTCAAGTGAGAGTCACGACCCTCATCTTCAACAAGCCAATTTTTCCCTCTAAGATCCTACGCTTGGTTGAGTAAAAATCTCAACACTATTTTCTCATGCTATGACACTTATGCCCCTCGATCTGAGGACTACTCTTTAGGCTAGGGATGAAAATATTTATGTTTTAAGTGATAATTCATTCTCAAAGATGATAAAACCAGACATATAAAAAGAAAAATCAAAACTAAAGCTCAACCTTGAAAAGTCATGTGTCATCTGCAACACTCACACATAAACGAAAATGTGAAAGACAAAAAGACAATGGTCACAAGACAACTCTTCCCTCAACCAATCATCAATATAACTGATTTAATCAACAATGATTCCAACAAGAGATCCTTAATCTACAAATGTTAGGTTCAAACCATCACTTAACTCTATCCAAAATCTGCAACCCAGATAAGCCATCATACTCAAGCCACTATTCGACTCTGTCAACTAAAGACTTAGGGGACTTCTGTTTCAAGCAAGACTGTTTGTTGATCCAAATGTACGAAACATATCGGTTATAAGTTACGCTAATTAAATGTAGTAAAAAATAATTGTATTTTCCCAATTACTATTTCTTTTTACTTAGTTTTATAAATTAATTTATTTCACATTTAAAAATCCTATTAATTAAAATGTATGGTAGTTTATATTTTAAAATACAAAAATGACATTTTTATTATTATTATAATTATATTATTACTCATGGTCAAAGTTTATATTATTATAATAATAAAAAGTAAGAAAAATGTTTCACTAGTAATATAGTATTTGCTTTTGGGCCTTGGCAAATGCTAAAAAGGAATTTATAGATTACTTTATTAGAAATAGATTTTGAAGGTTTGACTTCATGTGAGAGAGAGTACGAAGATCTCATTCTCATCCTTCTTCGCACCATATTCTTTCTCTTTGTCTCTCTCACGCTGAAAAAGACTGCTCAAAACCAAACATCACAGGACCAACACAACACAAGACAACTACCTCGTCTTCCTAGAATTTCCATCTTCAATTGCTGTTACTGTAAGATACTGTCTCTCTTCGTTATTTTTCCCTTTTTGTTATTTGCCCCCTTTTGTTTTTAACCCAAAATTCTGAAATTATTCACTTTCCATGTTTATAGATCACTCAATCTTGTTACTTTTGAACTTAATTTGGTTATTAGGCCTGTTTATGCTAGTGCTTATTTATGGTTCAGTTCAGTAATCAGTGATCATTCAAGGCATCTGCTGGTTTTAGTTTTAATTTCGATTTCGGAATTATTCGCGTCGCGTGATGTGGTTGTTTTTCGATTTTACTGGATGGTGTTGTCGATTGTTGCGCGATTGTTGAATCAGGGTTGTAAAAAATGAAAACTGTGTTTTTTCGTATCTAGTCGAATTTGTAATCTTGATGATGTTTTTGTTTTCTGGATTAGGTTAATGTCGTGATTGAACATTCGGAGCATTTGGATTAGGTTATTGAACCATGTCGAGGAAATGAAGCTTGGATTTGAGGTAAAATGGGTTGTGTAATTAGCCGAGAAGTAGAATCGGGTATTGTTTCTGAGGTGAAGGATGAGAATAGTTTAAGAGTTGGGTCGAATAGGAGGGTTGAAGAAGTGTCGACGAGTAGAGGTGATGGGAATGTGGTAGAGGTTCAGGTGAAGAAGGTTAAGGAGAAGGAAGAGAAGAGTGATGGTGATGGGGGTCAGCGGCCGAAGGGTGAAAGAAGAAGATCAAAGCCAAATCCGAGGTTAAGTAACCTGCCGAAGCATTTGCAAGGGGAGCAAGTAGCAGCTGGATGGCCGTCTTGGCTTACAGCGGTTTGTGGGGAAGCACTTAATGGGTGGATTCCGCGAAAGGCTGATACGTTTGAGAAAATAGATAAGGTTGGTTTGTATTAATTTTTAAAATTTTGGACTTTACTTTATATATTGGATGCATGTGGTTTGAAACTGAGGTTATGATTGATTGATGTTGTGAATGATAGTGTTTTCCAAACTCGTAATACTTGTTTTTTCTTTTCTTTAGATCGGTCAAGGAACATACAGTAATGTGTATAAAGCTAAAGATACATTAACGGGTAAGATTGTTGCATTGAAAAAGGTTCGATTTGACAATTTGGAACCTGAGAGTGTAAAATTCATGGCTCGAGAGATCCTTATACTGCGAAGATTGGATCATCCCAATGTTATAAAGTTAGAAGGTTTAGTTACATCTAGAATGTCCTGGAGTTTGTATCTGGTGTTTGATTACATGGTACATGATTTGGCTGGACTTGCTGCAAGCCCTGACATCAAGTTTACAGAGCCTCAGGTTAGACCAGGTTTGCCTTAATTATTTGAGAAATAAAATTGATATCATTTGACATACTTTCTTTTCGATTGCAGTACTTGATGTATCCAAATAAATACTTGTTTATTGCTTGCAGGTAAAATGTTATATGCATCAACTGCTATCAGGACTTGAGCACTGTCATAATCGGCATGTACTTCACCGTGATATTAAAGGATCAAATCTTCTGATTGACAGTGAAGGAGTACTTAAGATTGCCGATTTTGGACTTGCATCTTTCTTTGATCCAAACCGCAGGCATCCTATGACTAATCGCGTGGTTACCCTTTGGTACCGGCCTCCTGAGTTGCTTCTGGGTGCCACAGAATATGGTGTGGGTGTGGACCTCTGGAGTGCTGGTTGCATTTTAGGAGAGTTATTGTACGGGAAACCAATTATGCCTGGTCGTACGGAGGTGATAATTTAATATATCTTGTTTTGATTTATAGAACTTACCGTACCTCTTAATCTGTGCAAACTGTTACTTCAATAAGCTTTCTATTTTACAACATAGTCAATTGCCTAAGCCTGTGCCGAGATTTAAAATTTATTAGCAAAAGTAGAATAAATCCAGAAAACTTAAAAGCCAGTAATTGAAGAGGTTATAACTGCTTGTTACTTCTAGTCTCTCTGCTCAGTGTGGATTATTGCTTAGCTAACTACTCAGTGAACTATTTATTTTTGCTGCAGCATTTGTACTCTTGGTTTAGGCCACTTGTTCATGTTGTTTAATATACATATTTGTACTGTTGAAAACTCGCAGAATTTAGGTTTGGCCTAACTCAACCTTTAGAAATGAGGCAGATTGTCCCCCACTCATGAACATCCTTTTCACGTTTTACCTCATCCACGTAGGACTCTTAACACACGTGCCTCACGCCCAAGACTGAACATCTATAACGTGATCTAAGTCACTCGATAGTGGACGGTCCAATGGATCTTAGATAGGATCTTGCACCATCTTAGAATTTGTGTTGGGTCTAACTCAACACTCGCAGAACTGACTTGTAAGGTGATACTGGCCACCACTTATGAACACATTTCAAGCCTTATCTTATCAAGTGTGAAGCTATTAACAAAAACAAAGAATGAGTAAAAAGGAGCTATGATGATGACTCGATAAGATAATCAGGTCCCGCATCTGTAAGGATTTAGAGGAGCTATGATGATGACACGATGAGATGATGATGGACTGATGTATAGGAAACTGCGTTCTCTTAATTATCTATAGGATTTCTGTATTTTATAAAACACATCTCCAAGTATGTTTCGTTAGTTTCCTTTTTAAAGTGATATAATAGGTAGATCTTATGTTTAGCTCTAACTTCTCTTACATAGTTTGAGGATTTTGTTTTTGCAAGAAGTACATTTTCTGGTTATTTGAAGTCTCCATGGGTTGAATATTTTACACAGGTGGAACAACTGCATAAGATATACAAGCTTTGTGGTTCACCTTCTGAAGAGTATTGGAAGAAGTCAAAGTTGCCCAATGCTACCTTGTTTAAACCTCGAGAGCCATACAGAAGAAGCATAAGAGAGCTTTTTAAAGAATTTCCACCTTCTGCTCTGCCCCTCGTGGATACACTTCTTGCAATCGATCCGGTAGAACGGAAGAGTGCTTCAGATGCTCTAAGAAGTGAGGTTGGCTTTTGAAAATTCTTTATCTTTTTTGGCATTAATATGTAGGCAGTGTTTTTAAACTTTTTATTGATATTACTATTTCATGCCCATTAGGCTGTCTTAATCTCTTTGATCCCAATCTATTCTCGATGCATATAGATTTCCTAGAACACATACCCAAGACTTCTGTGTGAAACATATACAGCTGCATATTCTCTGCTAACCCTATGACTTATTTATGACGAGTAACTAGTTTTATGATCAGGCGTGTATGTTCCTTAACTGCAATGATTGCCAATAGATTCTTCTGATGTTAAACAATGACTCTTCTAGGAGCTTGGTTCTTGGGCTTCTTGCCCTGAATATTATGTACAAAGAATGTACTTGTATGTCATAAAATGCTGCTATAGGAGAATGGTCAGTAAAATATTGATTGTTGTTTGACTCTGAGGGAAACCGTTGGAGCTCTATACCATCCCATCCCGAGGATGTATCTATCTCTTGAGCTTTGTCTATATTTTATTATGTGCATCCCTTCTTGGAATAGGATCAACCAGTTTGATTTGATATATGACAAAATTTCCTTCTCTCAGTCTCAACCCTTCTTATTTATAAGCAACATGTCTTATTTTTCTAATTACCCGGTTTTGTTAAAAAACCGCTATACTGCTATTATGTATTGGAATTTGGGTAGCCAATCCGAAAAGTGATATGATATGTCAACTCCGCTATTTTTAGTATATCGGTGCGTTTTGATAAATCGGTTAGCGGTACGTATACGTAATAGCAGAGTCGTGTGTTTCAGCGGAGGTCAAACTTTTTAAAGCATTAAAAATTACAAAACCTAAAGTGGTGGCCAAAATTTTTAGAACATTAAGAAAGCACCAAACCTTAAGTGGTGAGTCGGTTAGTGGGCATTGTGTATAATACCTAAAGCAATAAAACCTCACTACACTCTGCCTCCATCCTCAAGTAACAGCACTGTTATCCACTACATACCTTCATCTCCTTCACGCAATGTATGCAACAATGTATTGTGCTTTATTAGTTGTTTGAAATATTGAGATTTTGAGTTTTATGTCAATCTCTTTTTTATTTCATGTTTAATTTATGTTTTTGCAACTTTTATTTGTGTGCAAGATGCTTTATTTTGTGTAGAATTATTTATATTACAACTGTTTTGTGGCTTATTTACCCGCTACGCTATCCGTTATTTCTCATATTGGATTTCTGGCAACCTGCTATTTTCCACGACCCGCTATTAATAATACTGCTAATTACCCAGTAATTAACTGTAAAAAAACTAAAACCAACTTCCTGACTCCAGTTACCCATGAAGGGTTTAGGAAACCTTAAGAAGTGGTAGTCGCTCCCCCTTGACTGGGGGAGATTGCTGACCACCTATTATCAAGGGAGTCGTGGAATGACTCGTTCTGGTATGACTTAGTGGGGAGATAATAGTATTATACACGTCATTTGTCTCAAGGGCGAGACCCCATACTCCATAAAGGTGGCGCTCGGGCGATGCCTTAGTGGGCGAGGATTCTGGAGTCGCCCCTATTTAGGACTCACACAAATATAACACTACAAAAACTAACTCCCTAACTCCAGTCACCCATGAAGGTCACTTTGCTGTCTCTTTTCTTTGGAATACTAAGTTAGTAAAGGTCCTAAATATGGATTTAGTGATATGTAGTATGTTTCAATTTATCATGATAAAGTATGTGGACATTCCAAAATGAATGTTAATGAAAAGAAACTTCTCTTGAAACTGATGTAGATCTTATCTCTGTCAAGTTTAGATGTTCTTTTTTATACTCTTGACCATATATTTACTTTGCTTGTCTATCCTATCTTTTTTGCAGTTCTTTACCACAGAACCTTATGCTTGTGATCCTTCTAGTCTTCCAAATTATCCCCCAACCAAGGAAATGGATGTTAAACGGCGCGATGATGAAGCAAGAAGGTATGCATTCTTTAGTTTGCGTTCTGCATGCTAGAAGTGAGACATTGTTAGGTAGGAACCCCTGATTTTAATTCCAAAGAAAGAATGCCTTATTTAAAAAAAAAAAAAGATAGAATAGGAGAGAATCTCTCCTCAAGGGTTTCCCCTTCACACTAGAGAATCATAATGTTTAAAGACTGTCTCTACTCTGTGTTCTCCTATTTATACCTCAATTGTGGCTGTAGCGGCCACGATAGCTGTGGCGTGTTGCATCGGCCACAATAGCTGCGTCGTGTCACATTGACCAAGTGCTACACAATACAGCATCACGTCACATTTTAGGGTTGCAGCTGTGCAGTTGTAGTGCTGTTCGTGGTGGCGTAATTGCAGGAACGGTAAGTTTCAGAAACACAAAAAGCCGCCACAGTTGTTTTTAGTTCAAAACGTCAAAATTGCCCTACATTTTTAACTATTTAGGATTCTTTTATTTTTTTATTTTTTTAAAACTTTTTCCACTGGATAATTTAAGTATTCCCTACGTGGCCTTTCTTCTTCCACACTCTTCTGCGCTCTGTT